CTTGTCTTAATCACAGAAAAAGCTGGAAGTAGTGCTGTGGCTCAAGTGCTAGAGTGCTAACCTTGAGCAAAAGGAGCTCAGGGATAGTGTCCAGGTCCAGTGTTCAAGCCCCAGGGACTAGCAATAAAAAAAATTAGACTCAAAATTATGAAACAACATCAGAGTTTCTTGGCATGTGGTAGAGAAAGGAAGAAATGGGGAAAGTAAATTACACAGAGGAATGATAAGTTGCTTTTATATTTTAGGATTTTTTGACATAGTTGTATTTTTGTCATAAAAAGAAAGGAAGTATGAAAGACCAAATTAATGTAACAATGTCTACTGAACTCAATCTAAGATTTCCCAGAATCGGTCACAAGTCAGGGTGGCCTTCTTACTCAGATTAGTAATCTGAAGATAAGAAATCCAATAATGGATTCTCCAATATAGCATGGTATGTGAATGGAGCCTGGCACTGATGGCTCCTGTCTATAATCCTAGCTACTCAGGAGGCTGAGTTCTAAAACAGCCCAGGCAGACATATCAGACAGACTCTTATTTCCAATTAATCTGCTAAAATCTAGAAGTGGAGGTGGCAGAGTGCTAGCCTTGAGAGAAATTCTACCAAAAGGAGAATATCAGACCAAAACTCCTAGAGAATTTCTAGGTTGTAGGTCATATCTGCTTTAGACATATCTGTTTTGTGTCAGTCCTCTGGGGTCCTAGATCTGAGGTTGACCCTTTTGTTTTTATTTATTTTTAAAGCAATTTTAGTGTAGTTATATTTCTGTACCTGGGCTTTATGTGAATGTCCCTACTTGTTTTTCCCCCAGACCCATCCTGATATTTCTTGGTCTGACTGCCTGCTCCCCTTCTAGATTCTAGGTAAATGGCTTTGTAATTTTCCTAATGGGAAGCTCTCTATTGGAGGGACAGGTTCCTGGGTCCTGTTGAACTGGAAGATATCCATGAGCCTGCTACAGGCCTCTGAAAGGCCATGTGGGCTCACCTGTCTGAATGGAATTCAAAGCTTCACTCTTCTCCCATTGGAAAAGATGGTTCAATGGAGCACCAAACTGCTCACTTGTCTTAACCATATCCATAAGCTCTTCTTGATTAGTAGGGATTACTGGAAGGCTTGTATAACCTGGGAAGGGAGGGGCTGAGTAACCAGGGGGAAATGAGGAGACCCTAAAACTAAGAGGAGGAGCCATGTCCAAGAGCAACACAGGCCTCTCCTTGTAGGACAAGGCAAGGACAAAGAAAATAAGGGAAAAGGTAGTAATTACGGTTAGTTCCTTTCTTCTCCTTCTTCTTGTCTAGTTGGAGTTCAGGCAGTGATGCATAAGAAATTATGTCACTGGTCTCCACAGTCTGCTCCTCTGGGCTTGCCGCTTCCTTTTGCATTGAAGCTATGTCTGTGCGCGTTGAAGCTAAGTCTGTGTGCACCTCGGCTGAAAGTTCTGAAATGGAGTCCTTTGTAAGGAGCTCAAATTCAGAGGTCCAGCTGGACCTCCTAGTTTGTGGGACTTCACTGGAAGGAATCTCAGGAAAGAAGTCTTTCTTCCAGGCACCAACAGAAAACACAGAGACACTGCCTGGTGATGTGGACTGAGAAGGTGGGTGCTTTTGGGGGACCCTAGAGGTGGGAGTCTCAGAGGTAGGGGCCTCCAAAGAGATCTCAGAGGCAGACCTTGGAACTACAGTGGTATCAGAGAGGAAGGATTTCAAAAAGTTTTGAGAGGTTTGGGATGTTAACGCTGTCTGCGAAGTAGTTGTCACCAAAGGTGAGTCAGAAGCATGTGGTTCTATAGGGAACTTGAAAGTGTATGGCACCAAAGGAGTATCCGAGATAGAGGGCTTCAAAAAGCTTTTAGAGGCCCGGGATGTTACCAGGGTCTTGGAAGAGGTTTGCACTAAAGGAAATCCATGACCATACGGCCCTGAGAAGACCTGGGAAACAGATGGGAACTCAGACATGGGAGGGTCTGAAGGAGTTTCAAAGACAGAAGGTTCCAAGGAACTCTCAGAGACGTAATTCCTGAAACGAGTCTGGGAAGATGGTGTCAAAAGGTCTTCAGAGGCCTGGGGTTCTTCTGAAGGTGTCTGAAGAATGGAAGGCCCCGAGGGGAGTTCAGAGGTAGAGAGCGGCTGTAAGTCTTCAGTAGAGGGATCCTTCGAAGAGGGGTGTTCATTTGCACCCATGATGGTATGAGGTTTTTCTGGGACCTTGGTTGCTTCCATCTAGTGGTAAAATAGGGTATAGGCTTCATTAGATTGAGATTGGAGGATAGGCAAATCATGGCAGAGCCCAGGATTGACAGGGGGTTATGGGATTAGAATAAATTGTTTAGTGCACTTGAGACAAAAGAGGGAAGCAAGAAAGGTTCTAAATCTTTGGGAGTGATGCCAGGAGAGTTGCTTATGTGCTCATACTCATGTGGCATGTGGCAGTGGGTTGTTGGAGCAATAGAACATAAAAATTAAAAGGCTGAAGTAGAATCCGATCAGTAGATGGAAGCAGAGGACTGTGTCCCAGGAGGCAGCTTAAACATAGTTGCCTGCCCAGTCCCAAGTGCTGGGGTTCTGAGCATGACTTCAGACCTTGAAAGCCAGACTATGGAGTTCCAGAGACTGGGAATATCAGGTCCAAGCTGGGGTTGACTTCTGAGTGTGAGCGAATGTTACAGTAAATAAGGCAGGACCTTATATACAGTTTGATTTTTGTCTAGGAACTACACATACTCTCCCTTGCTGATCCCATCTATGTTCAAAGCTCCAGTTACTTTCAGTTATATGCTGCTGACTTTTTTTTTTTTTGGGGGTCCAGTCGTGGGGCCTGAACTCTGGGCCTGGGCGCCGTCCCGCAGCTCTTCAGCTCAAGGCTAGCACTCTACCCTTTGAGCCACAGCGCCACTTCTGGCTTTTTTCTTTTTGCTTATATGGTGCTGAGGAATGGAACCCAGGGCCTCAGGCATGCAAGGCAAGCGCTCTACCACTGAGCCACCTTCCCAGCCCCTATGCTGCTGACTTCTAAGTCTGTATTTCTAGCTCAGATCTTTTTAGAACCTCATACTTTGCACTGATACCAAGCTTCCTGCTAGACATTTCTAACTAATATACCACAGGCATCAAAACTGAACTCTGGGAATTATCCTGGTGTCTATTCCTTCTCCCATAGACAAAGAACTAAGGACTGTATTTCCAGTCTTCCTAAGTATTCATCAAATACATTCTATTCTCTTCTTTCTCTTCAATTTATTTTATGTTTTCATTATCTCCTGCCAAGCTGTTTTCAAACAACCCCTCCACTATTATATCCAGTATATTAATCTATTCACCAATACTATTATTCATTTATATGGTAAGAGCTAGGTCACGTTGAGTTTGAGAGGAAGGGAGGTTAACAGTGACAACTAAAATGAATTGATGTGGCACTAGAATAAATCTGGGGTGCTGAGGGTGAAGGAGTATGCCTAATTTATCTTGGAAGAATATCCCAAAAATTAACTTCTTCCTGACCCAGTCAAGGGTCAAGTGACTCAAGTTAAATGATTAAGTCCAAATCTCTTGGCCTTGAAATTTTACAGTTTGTCTCCCCCCCTCCTCACCAAGTACTCTATCACTGATCTGCATCCCAGCCTTTGTTTTTTGTTTTGTTTTTTTTTTTTTTTGAGACAAGAACGAAGGTTAAGACAAAGTCTCACTAGCTAGCTCAGGCTGGACTTGAACTCAAGATCTTCCTTGCCTCTATCTTCTGAGTACTGGGATTACATGTGAACACCACATCATCCAACAGGATTTGTCATCATTTACAACACTACGGTCCTAACTTTCTGTGGTCCCTACAACCCCTGTCCTCTAGAGACACTAGGTATATCATTTCTTAAACTCGTTAGAGCCTTTCCAAAGGAAAAGGACAACAGGAGAATAACTAGAGACAGTAAAAGGGAAATGTGACCTAAAAGGTGGAGGACCGGTTGGGAGGAGAGAAAAGGGAAAGGAGGAGAGAATTAGGTGAGGGTGAGGATAAGGATGGAAAGTAGAGAATGGGGGAGGGTCAGAAAGTGTTAGGAAGAAGAATGAGTTGAAGGCTTGGAGAGGGAGAGTCACTGGAAACCTTCATACCTCAGGTCTTGGCTTGGTTGTTAAAAAGTCCTTGGGTCAGGTCAAGATCTTGCCATAGGTTGGAGGGGAGGAAAATATTGGTCCCAAGGGAGGAAATGCTCTTGATGTGGATGAGCTCCACTGCAAACCCTGAAGTGATGGGCCTTGCTTGGAAGTATTTGTGAAGACTTGGATATCCCTAGGCTTGGGCCACGGAAATCTGGCCTGACTGGGGGCGGGGAGTGGGGAGGGGGTGGAAGGTAAGGGACAGGGAAGGAGAGCTGTAAGGGAGAAGGTCAAGAGGGGTCTGGGGATGATGGAGGAAGGGGTTTACTGAAGCTTCTAGAACTCAAGCCAGGAACTCATACCAGGGCAACGCGAACGCTAGAAGTCTCCATGGTAACAGCACTCGGGTCACCTCCCAAGTGAGTGAGTTTTCCGGAGGGGGCTGCTCCGTGGAGCCGGTCGGGTGTCGAGCGAGTCTCTGGGTGGGATTCGTGGATACTGTGGGTACGTCCCTGGGGAGTCTGGTTCTGTGAAGGTCTCTGTAGGGTTCCTATAAGATATGTGGGGCACACAGTGGGGGCTGTGAGGACCACGGTGGTGTTCGGGACTCCGCGGTCCGGAGGACAGGGTCTCAGCTGGGACTGGGGCGGAGTCTATCCTCGAAGCCCAGCAGAACTAAGTTAGGACCAATAGAATAGAGCAGGGGGCGGGCTTTGCCGAGAGAGACCAATTGTATTGAGCAGGAGGCGGGACGCCATAGGACGTCAGGCAGAGGCCGCCGCCGCCGCGGGGCCTGGTTGTCGCCGGTTCAGCGCAGCCCGGAGTCGACCAGGCCTGAACTCCTCCCCAGGTCCCGGCCCCCGGCCCGAGGCCCTCGAGGACACCGGAGGCCATCCCCCGGGGAGGGGTGGGGAGCGGAGCCGCGAGTCAGCTCAGCGAGCGCCCCTCGCTGGCCTGTCCGGCCCCGCCCCCGCCCCGGGCCATGGCCCAGCCCTTGTCCCGGCCCCTCGTCCTATCCCTTTCCCAGCGTTGGCCTCCGGCCCCGCCCTCGTCCCTCTTCCTAAATTGGCCTCAGCCCCAGCCTGGGCCCCAGGGAATGCCAACGTCCAGGGCCCAATCCAGCCCCCCCCTCAGGTCCCAGTCCCTAGCCCAGACTTGGCCCCTAGCCTCGCCTCGGCCCTCGTTCCACTCCCTGTCGCAAATCCCAGTCCACTCTCGGTCCCCACCCCATTCTCAGCGGTTGCCTAAGCCCCTGCCCCAGTGCCGGCCCTTACTTGAGTCGTTGTCCCAGCCCCTGCCTCCATCACACTCCCTGCCCTTGTTTAAGCCTGAGTACTCAGGCCAACCCTACTCATCGTCTCAACCTTTGCCCTCATCTCTGTGTTTACCCAAGTCTTTCCCACTGGCCCCCCGCCTCTCTCATACTCTACCCCTCTCCCAGCCTCGACTCAGGTCTGGGCTCCAGCTGCCATCAGTCCTATTGCTGCTGTTGCTGTTCTCTGTCCTTGGCCCCGGGGCTGGTGAGTGCAGAAGTAGTAAAGACTGAGATAACGATGGGGTTCCAGGCTGTGGGAGGTGTGGGCTACAGAGAGGTTCAGGAAAGGTGGGATCTGGGGAAGAACTGGGGGAGAGATATGGAGCAGAGAGATCTTATACAACACAGGAATTGGCATTGTGGAAAGAGTGGTACCGGGTCTGGGGCTCAGCAGGTGGCTATTGTCCTTAAGACAGTCTTCAAGGTTTTCTTTCCCGGTGTCTATCTTACCCCAGTTGACTCTAGCTTTTTTCAGGAGACTCTTGAAAGCTTTCCTGCTCTCAAAGTTTGGTAGAGGAGGGCATTAGAATATGGCTTAAACCTTTGGGTATTGCCCATACATTCAAACAGGGTTAAGCAAAGAGTTCTGAAGGTAACATATTGCAAACAGATGGACATGGATTGTGTTTGTGTTGCATGCATGCATCCACATGCACACGCACACACACAGTACTAGTTCTTGAACTCAAGGCTGAACTTCTTAGCTCAAGGCTAGCACTCTACCACTTGAACCACACCCCCCATTTCCAGCTTTTTGGTGGTTATTTGGAAATAAGAGTTTCACAGGCTTTCCTTCTTCAGGCTGGTATTGAACCTGGATTGTCAGATTTTAGATTTCTGAGTAGCTAGAATTATAGGTGTGAGCCACCAGCACCCCAGCTGGACATTTCCCCCCAAAGCTTGATTGGCTTAGGACTAATTCTTTATACTTTTAGAATAGGGTTAAAACGCAGAGTCCATTTTACAGATGGAAAACTGAAGTTCAGTGAGGGAGCAATTTGTTCAAGGTCATATTTATAAATGGCAGTGCTAGGGCTAGGAAGAAAAAAAGGTTTCCAGGTTCCTCTCATATTAGTGGTCCCTCTCCTTCCCCACTGTAATTTATGCTTAATAGAAAACCAAATTCAAGTGGGTAAAGGTTCATAGCCCAACTTGTCTGTCCCTCAGACAAGAAACTTCCTGCTTAAACTGTTGCTCATTTTCCAGGCTTCAATATAGGGTCACCATGATGCTTAAGAAGTCACCTGGCTAAGAAAGAGAGGCCCAACTTTTGAATGTGTGGAATGTAGAAGGAGGAAGGGGTCTTTGTGTAGGGATGTATCATACAGATGGCCCCATCACAAATAGCCTTATTCTAGGCTTCTGACTACCCCCTTTGACTACCTCCTTTGATCCCCTTCTGACTACCACCTCTGTTGGGTATCATTCTAACTAGGATGGCAATAACAGCTAATAGAGCATGTGGGCTGGGCTTGACTATATAAGCTTGAGATCAGTACAACCGAGAGGTCACAATTGCAAAGATGTTTGGGTGCTTCTCTACCTGTGTATAATAGGTGTCCGCAGGAATGTTGGCAAAGTGCAATGTATGGACTTGCTTATATGTTGGTGGGTGAAGGCACATGTATACTGTATGGGGCATACATATGTCCTGAGTACCTATGTTATTTTATGAGGGTCTGGGGACATATTATAGCCCTATGAACATTTCTCTTCAGCTCTGCCGTGCTCCTTTTACAGACAGATCACTGAAGTGTTATCTTCATAAGTGGTGGTTCTTAGTTTGAAGGCAGTGTTGAGGGCCCATCTCCATGATGTGGGTTCTGTGTTGATTACAGCAAGTGGAAAGTTGGGAATTCGCAGAGGAAGCCAAATTTTCACTTTTGTTAAGGGGAGTTTATAGTATTTAGCCTGATTAATGACTTCCATCCCTACCAGCATAGCATTTTTTTCTTTTTTAAAATTATGTTTATTAAACTACAGAGGGGTTACAGTTACATAAGTCAGTATATTACTTTCTGGACAGTGTCACCCCCTTCCCTTGCTCTGTCCCAGGTTTTTTTTTTTTTTTTATTAGCCCATTGAGCAAGCCCTGAGCTGGGTAGTAGAAATGTATAACAGATAGCTTTAGAGTATACAAAACAGGAAGTTGTGGATAAAAATAAAATTTCAGAGAAGCAGGTTTGATGTTTCATGAAGAACTATAATGAAATTAGGAAAGATAATCATATAGACCCAACTGCCGGTGGGGCTACCCTTAATGCTGTTTATAGCCAATGCCTTGGCAGCTGTGGCCTGGTATTTGGGTTCTCTGTGACCTAGTGATGATGATGAGTTTTGTCTGAGGAGAAACTGGCAGTGCCATAGAACTATCATAGCATAAAGCTTCATAAATGCTTAGTATTTGCTTCAATCTCATTTCAGAAATGGAAGTTACTTCTTGGATCTCTTGGTCTCAACCCTGATCTTGTGTTTTCCTGTTGGACTTAGTTAACTGGTTGATAACTCAAACATGCTTTACCTTTCTTAGAAATTAACTTTTCTCCTAGTGCCATCAGGAGCAGGGCCAGTTTCAGCCTCTCTCTCTCTCTCTCTGTATTTGTATGTGTATGTGTGCATGGTGCTGGTGGTGGGGGTGAATCACCTGAGCTGCTTCATAGAAGGGACACAAGGACAGGTCAATATGAGCTTGGCTAGGGCCTTGCTCATGCTTCCTCTAAGATACAAGCCTTATTCAAACTGCAAATCAAAACTTGAGGTGGATAGGGCTGTGGACACTTCCGTCAAGCATCTGTCCTTCCCCTTTGTACTTCTAGGTTCCTCCCAGCATCCCGAGCTGTTAACTCACTCCTTTTCCCTGACAATCTATTCTGTGATCTCTACAGCCTCTGGCCGCTTGGGGAATGGCTTAGCCAGTTCCCCAAATTTCCAGGTCCTGCCACGGATTTTGAAACCCAAGGTGTTTTGTGTTTTTCAATCACTGTTTCCCAAACACTTTAGCTTCTGTTCGCAGTTAGTGTCTAGATCTGCAGGGAGCAACTGATGTTTTCTTAACAGCAGCTACAAGATGACCCATCCCAGCTTTGAGAAGGAGCAGCCCTTTTGTAAATCCAGCAGAGGGCACCCCAGAGCTCTTATTTCCCCGTAACAATAGTATCCAAGGCTGTTCAGGGACTGGCCTGCTTCCCGATTGTCAAAGCCAGTGCTTTTAGGTACCCTGCTGTCTTATCTATCATATCAGTTAGTCCATTGCCCTTGATCTTTCTCAGATGCATCTCCATTGCTCTCCGCTATGCTGAGCCTTTCTGGATTCCTAGGCAGTATTCCCTCAGCTTGTTAGTTAGCAGGGCTTCCTTGCTGACAGTTGAGACTAATGTGGTTGCCACTAGAAAGACTAGTCATTGGTTAACTGTAGCCTTTTAGGATGAGCCAATCTAAGACTTGTCCACTGTATGAGGTATCTCTCTAGAGCATGAGTCCCGAAGTTGCCCCAATTTACTGTGACCAACCTTAATCAGCATTCTTTTTTTTTTTTTTTTTTCAGGTAAGGGGTAGGTTTATTCAGTAGACCTGCTGGGACCAGGCAAGGTTGGCACTCCACGTGGCTGGGAAAGGCCTGGGAATGAGAGAGAGAGAGCTAGGAAAGAGAGGAAAGAGCTAGAAAAGAGCAGAGAGAGGGGTAAGAACAGTAGCACTCACGTGGTATCCAGGTAAGGGGTAAGTTTATTCAGTAGACCTGCTGGGACCAGGCAAGGTTGGCACTCCATGTGGCTGGGAAAGAGAGGAAAGAGCTAGAGCAGAGAAAGAGCAGAGAGAGCTAGAAAAGAAGAGCAAGAGCAAGAGCAAGAGTTAATCAGCATTCTTATCTTTGGCTGTTGACCTTTTCCAGATGCTTCTTTAAGTTGAATAACAAGCAGTCCATTTGGGGTGTAATGTCTCCTATCTCAAGAGATAGAGGTTATCAGACTAGGTGAGCCTTTATAAGTATTTTCAGCCTGGCTGAAAACTCTCCATTCAGCCTCCCCTTCCAGGTTCCTATTCTGACCTGTAGACACTCACATTCCCAACCTTCTCATTTGTCCTTGAGGTATGCTTCTGGGATCTGAAGTCCCTGGGGCTTTATTCTGGGAGACCTTGCCTGCTTTGGGGGATCTCTTCTACTCAGCTGAACATCTTGCTTTCCTTCATTACCACAGTAATCCTGGTTCCTATGAGTTTGCCTGCCGTCATGACTTTCCTATTCACCTTGGCTGTGTTCCTGACAACTATGATTAGGTATCTTGGCATTTCTGTTAGAGATGACCACTTCCTCCCCACCTCCCAACCTCTGAATATTCTCAAGTGATCTGAGATTCTACTGGGTCACCATGTGTCTGCCTCATAGGGCCTTCCTCTGGGAAAATGTCCTAGCTGTTCATTTTGACCCTGGAGGTTCTGATGACTCTCTTCCTGCGCACTCTCATGGTGGCCTGCCAGTCCTGCTCTTGCCTCTGCTACCCAAGCAGGCCCCTTGCAGGCCTTACCACATCTCCCTTCCCCTCTCCTGGCCTAAGTCAGTATGCAGACAACTCTTGTGAAGTTTCTGAGGTTTTTTTTTTTTTTTAAACTGCTTCTGACCACCCGGGAACAGAAAGGGGAGAAAATAAACAAGGAAGTTACACAGTTCTATGTCGCCTCCCAAGCCCCACAGGTGGAGTTCAAGCCTGTCCAGCGGCTTAAGAGCCCATGCCAACACACACACACACACACACACACACACA